ATTCAAGGCCAGGTTGGATGGGGCTTTGAGCAACCTGATTTAGCTGAAGATATCCCTGCTCATTGCAGGGGGTTTTGGACTAGATGAGCTTCAAAGGTCCCTTCCACCCCAAAACCATTCTATGATTTTATATAACAACACTCAGTGTTTGCAAACAGATGTATTTTGTGTGTATCTGGGAGGATGGGGGAGAAGTATGTCTGTAGGTACATCAATGATCGCACGCTTTTGGATTAAAGGTAACAACTCTTTAAAACAACTGGCTGAATAAATAGTACGAAGTGTATCTGAGCAGCAACTGCTTTATCTTATGAAGGACAAATACTTTGCTAAAATACCTTAAGTAGAAGCTGTGTGGTTTATAATCCCATCTGTATGAATTTGTTAGTGACCTCCGTGTAATCTTGTCAGCAAAAAGAAGAGTTCAACACACTATTAATAAGAAATCATTTGGATGCAAATTTTATCTGCAGTGTGGTGCCTTTCAATCAGAAGAAGTTCATGAGGCAAAACCTTTGAGCCACTACAAAACTGGCAGGCAACCTATCAAGCTTTTCAGTAAAATGATCTATGAACAGATTCTCTTGTACCATTCGCAACAGAAGATTGAATGAATACTTTAGATATGAAACATGCAGAGACAACAAATAATATTCTCTTCAATTTTCTTATTTAGTAAATCTGGGTGATATATCTTTTTTCTGTTTAAAGAAGGAAAATGGAGTCAGTTTGAAACTTCATGGATGGGCTCTTGGGTGAATTCTGGGTATAAAAATGCAAGAAGCCTAACAAATCTTTTGGGAGAGAATGACAGCTCTCCGTTTTTCATCCAGAGAACTAACAAGTGAAATTTCACCAAGAAAGGTCTTGGTAGAAAGATTTATAAGTCTCTGAAGGAAAAAGAAGGATGAGAGATTAAAACCTAGAGTACATATCTGATCTTTTTATGTAGTGTAAGACTTGTAAAAAAATGCTTTCCTGCTCCTAAACTTTGCAACACTTAGGAACTCCCTTAACTTATTTGACAACCAAATATATCTTGCCCTTCTTCTACTCCTACATAAATTTCCGTGCTTACCTGCAAATGTTATCCTGCTCTCTAAGTAGGAATTTGAGGTTTGGTACCCACAAGAATGTTGCAAATTCCTTCTGGTTTGTTTCTCAAGAAAGATAGCGCCATTAGAATACCGCTTTGGAAATCATCTCATGATATTCTGCATTATTCCTTTCAGGGATCAAACTCTCTTACATGAGCAATATTTCACATTGCTACTTCAGCCTTTCTTAAGGCCTTTTTTTAAGTGTCGCTGATCCATGTGAGGGATGGGTGGTGGAAGGTGTCAAGTGATACCAGGCAGGAGGTTGTTCATGTTTTCCTGCTCAAAGTTGCATTGATCTTTTTTGAAACTACGAAATAAAGGAATGATACTTCCCATTTTCTTTCAGTGCAGAAGGTGAATAACTTTGATGGTATTAAAGTGAGAGTCTGCTGTCTCTTGCTCTTTCAGAAGGCAGGAAAGAAGAGAAACTCAGACAGGAGTTAAAAGTATAAATACAGATGTTCAAAAAGTCTTAAAGTGTATCTTAAGAGACAGCAATGTAAGCAGGAAAAAGTTGAGAACCAAAATTTTGTGTGATTAAAAAAACCCCACCAAAACTCAAGGACTTGGCTTAGGGAAGAATGGTTTCAACTAATTAAATCAAAAGACCAATCAATACGGGAAAAGGAAAGTTAAATTCAGTGTTGACAAACATTAGTCTTTTGGATGACACTATTTATTGATTGGCTTTCATATATACAAAAAAAATTAAACCTAGTATCTTACACGTACATATAACACAGCCTAAATTCAAATGAACTGCTAAGTAAGATTTGTTCACTGCTCTGAGCAGTGGAAAGTAAATATCTGCTCAATGAGCAATGAATTAAGAAAGAAACCGGAGAGTGAATTTCTGAATTCATGGGAAAATTGAGACATTCCCACTACACAGGGCAAACAACTTGCTCTCACTTTGTGTTGGATTTGGGCCACGCTACATTCATGTTGGAATCAAAAATGACTCAATTTAGCCAAGTATTAAAGTCAGAAGGCAAAGAAAAAAGGACAAAGTTCTGAATTTTCAGCTACACATAGAAGTCTATGAAAACTTCAAAAAATTATTTGCTTACATCAACGGCCTGCTAAAATTCATTACTAAAAGATCACAAGAACTGGATAGTAAAGTTTCTCCTCCTCTAGGGGAAAAAAGATTGGGACGAACAATAAATGGACGCACAGCTATTAACAGCTTGCTTTTTCATATTTGTTTGTGTTCTTATATTTCACTTCTTAATGCAGTTTGGGTCCATACTGGAGGTAACATCTACAGAGTCAAACATTCCTCTCTTTCAAGAATGACAAAGAGATGGAAAGCTTATCTGCTAAATGGGTGGGCTTTAAAAGGAGGTACTTAATAATTCTTTTCAACAATAGACTGCCTTCTACTTGTATGTTTTTTTTATATCACTTACTTGTAACACTTCATTCCAAAGCCTTATAAAATATGCTGCCTATAAAAACAAATTCTCTGATCTAGAACAGAGGAAAATATTATGGGGAACATTATGGAAAATTTGTGTTTGACATGAACTGCTGCTGATGCACAATAGCAGACTGAAAATAAAGGAGATTTGCCTAAACATTTACATTTCATAACGCTGCCACAATCTAAGTGCTGTTTCACACCTCATTTAAAAGAGGAAGAAATACAAACTCATGTAATTTTTAAATTAAACAAGAACATTTCTGAATGACAGACAGATAAATTTCTCTAGTTCAAGAAAAACCACACATCAGAACTGAAGCCCAGACCTCAGAGTTTTAATCCAGTTACCATGTACTTCTTTCTGGTTTACTCTTTGGGAAGAAGCTGATTTATATTTATGTTGTATTTATCAGTGAGTTTATATGAGCTTCCCTTCTGTCTTAGAAATGTCATTAGGAAAATAAAACCTGGAAAACTTAAAGTTTTTATATGAGAATGTGCTCTTCATAGGATGACACATACAGACTACATTAAAAATACTCTATTTCAAACATCTAGGAAGGTAAGAATGGAAAACAGATTAGAGCCCCTAGATCTGTTAAACTCATATGCTCATATTTGTTCTTAAACATGTCAATGAAACATCCTTATTAACATGGTAAATGAAATCAAAGAATCGCTATGTTCTGTCACAATAGTTTTGCACAGACCTATTAATAAATATTGAGACGAACTCAAATGAAATATTAATAAGTTGAATAGAATACTGCATTTTAAAGTAACTTTCATCTGTACTTTGCAAGTAATAACAAAGACATGAGCACTTGCCCTTAGAGGGAGAATATGCTTAACAATATTCATCTGAATAAAAAAATACCTAAATGAAATAACAACCATAATATATACATTTTTCTTTGTAGCACCAGTTCAGAGCTAAACCTGGACATGAATACACTATAATTTCAGTGAGGGAAAGTTGTAAGTGCTAGTAACCTGGCACTCTTAAAGCATATCTACATTCACTGTAGACTACATTAAAAGTTACTTAAACATTCATAGTGCCAGTATACTAAGAAAAATTAACTAAAGAAAAACTCGTATTTTTTTAAATCTACAACATTTAGAAACATTCAAGCAAGTGTTGTTTCTAAAATTATCAAGATTAGACACTTTTAAGGGGAAAAAAAAAATCACTGTCTAAAATTACACATAAGAACCAAATTACATATGACAACTATCAGTACTCATCATCTGAACCATTTTATATGTGTAGCAGTACACATAACCTAAGTTAAATCTCATTTAAGTTTAATCACTTGTTAACAGATAAGAACAAATATTTGGGCCAACAAAAGAGTAAGGGGAAATTATGTATGAATATTTACTGAAGAGCTTCAATTGTGCCACGGTTTTAATGACAGAACTATTGATATTAATGGAGACAGAATTTTGCTTAGAATTTACAAAGAAAAGAGAATAAAAAAGAAGAAATTACAAGCTCCTCGCAGAGAGTGTTGTCTACTACTCTATGTTCCAATGATTGTTCATACAACACAGCCTCAGTCACAGCACCAAATAGCTTCCTAGAAAGTTTGAGACACTACAGTATGATCCCCTGTGTTCAACTTCCTAATGTTTTTTGCACTATGATTTTGAGACTATTAAGACTACTGGGATGTATTAAACAGTACGACCGGCCTGTCAAAAGATGTGATTATCTCTGTATTTAGCATTGCTGCAGCCTCACCTGAGTATTGTGTGTAGCTCTGTGCCCCGCAAATTAAGGAGGTGAAGGGCCCTGAATGTGCCCAGAGGAGGGCAACAAAGCTGTTGAAAGGGCTGGAAGGCATGTCAGCTTTCTATGAGGAGGAACTGAGGACTTTGGATTGTCTGGTTTGGAGAAAAGTAGGATGCGAGGTGACCCCACTGTTCTCTACAGCTTCCTGAGGAGGGAACGTGGCAAGGGAGGCACTGATCTCTTCTCCCTGGTATCCCGATTGGATGCATGGGAATGGTTCAAAGCTACACCAGGAGAGGTTTACACTGGACATGAGGAAGCATATCTTTACTGACAGGGTGGTCAAACTCTGGAACAGGCTTCCCAGAGGTGATTGGTGCCCCAAGCCTGTGAGTGTTTCAGTCATTTAGCCCTTAATAACATGCTTTAACTTTTGGTCAACCCTGAAGTAGCCAGGTTAGATGACTCGTGTAGGTCTCTTCCAACCAGAATACCCTATTCTAATTAAATATTCCACCATAATGAAAATTTTGCTTTCTGCAACCTCATGCTGCAATTTCTCTGATTTTTAACAGCAGGAAGAAAGAGTTTTCTTCTTCAGTCCAGGGCATAAAAAAGTTTAGAGGGGTATTTAAATTATGTATACAGGAAAAAGCGGAGGTGTGGCTGTCCACCAAAGGTCTCAGTTTATCCTGAAAGATAAAGCTATTACAATAAACTTAAAAGTTATTGATACCTCTCTCCGTCGAGAAGCCCAACAGGTTTGTTTGATTTTCCAAACGACAGCAGCTACCAGCAGTAAGGATAAGAAACAACTGCAATTACAAAAGAAAAACATAATTGTAACATAATGGTCTGAAAAAGCTTATATTTTTAGGGTATCAAAGGCAATTAAAACACATTTACATGTGGGGAAAACCCCACAAATATAGAGGAAAACTAAACTCTACCACATGATAAACAACAGTCAACCATCCAAGTTCACCCAAAAGAGAAGGCACACCTCTGATGGTTGTCTCCATAAAATGCTATTACTGTCTCCATTAGCACAGGATAAGCTCCATTTACAACCGTCTACATACCCACAGCAGTCTCAACAAATATGCACTGCATGTTTCACATTTAGCAGATGGAAAAAGAGAGTGAAGGACAGCAAAAATTTGCATCCATTTATACTTCTCTCGGTTTGTGAATTCTGAATAATTTCCTGGTACATGGGAATGATGACTATGCATGAGTATAATTAGTATAATAACTGCACATGACAATAGGTCTGTTTTATCATATTGAATGTTTCTATGGTAAATTTCCCAAGGAAAACATCTTAAAAAATATGTCCACATTACAGTCCCAAAGACAAAACAGAAGGAGAAAAAAAAAAAAATCAGAATTATTAAACTTCTGCAGTTCACAATCAAATACAGTATTTCTGTATTTGAAGCATGTAGCCCATTCAGGATTAGAACTCTCAACTTCTTTTGGTGAATTTCTGGATACTGACAAAACGCTTCTAAACTTGAAACCTCATGTAAAGCACTCAGAAGATCTTTTAATTTTTTAGACTTTGTTTCATAAAAGTATCTGCATTTTCTAGTTGTGTGAAAAACTTGTCAGTCATGGTAGCACATCTGCTGTACACAGTGCTCCCAATTAATACTGCACACTGCAACGGTTGAATTATACTACTCATACACGATTTTTTTGCCAAAAGCTTCAAAATTCTATTCTTTGACTAACATGGGAAATACCACAAATTCCCTGAAGCAGTGTAATTCAGAGGAGTACTGTGCATAAATGCAGTAACACTAATGTCTTCCTTTCTCCAGTCTCCTTTGAAAGCAAGTACAAGCCAACTGTGATTTATATTTGGTGCCTAGGTAAAAGCAGAACACAAAAAAAAAAAACCACTGACCACCAGAATTAGTCCAGTTTCACAGCAACACCTTTTAACATTTTTAAACCAATAGCTCCTTACAAATACTATCTCCCAGCAATGTTTTCCCTACCATATAGTATACTGTCTACCTAGTAACTGCAACAGATGCTTAGGGGCAACATCACAGTACTGACATGTTGCCACAAATGAGCATGCTGTGCATGAAGTAAGGTTAAGCCATTTCACTTACTCTTCTCCTCTACAGTCCTTCCAAAAAAAACTAAATCAGGGAAGTATCAGCAACTCTGCTTAAAACGATGAACTCAAAGCTCCTGAAATTTGGAAAAGATTAATACATTCAAAAGAGCTGGAGACAAGAAACTAAGAGATCCTTGAGCTGTGTGACTGCTTCATTATGACCAGGAACTGAATCTCTTTCCTTAAAAAATACTGTCCTTCACAGTTATTCATTTCTTGAACAATTCTCTTAAGTTAGTAGAAGAAAAAAAACTTCAGGGTTCTGGCTGAAAAACTTCAAATTGCTTCTGTGCTCTGTATGTCAATAGACCTGGGTCACACACTGAACTATCCTACCATCAATCAAAAGATCATTTAGTTTACATGTGAACAAATTCAGAAATGAATGCTTCAGATACACACCCATAAAATAATATAGATCACTGGAAATCATAGCACTGAGAATGTGAAATGTTTACTTAACACTTTTGCATTATCGTTTCTTGGCTAGTAAATATGAAATAATTGACTTTCTTCTCTGTTTTGTTTTTTTTTTTAATAATCAGAAGGAAAAAAAAAAAATCAAAATTCATGTTAACAAAAAGAAAGACACAGAAAATAGATTTTGTCAAACTAACCTGGTTCCAGGCTGTGGTGAGACAATAGCCTTGGTTTATTTAGGGCAATAAAAATTAAATCTGACTGCAAAGACTCTCACAATAGCGACTGACTTGGCAATAAAATAAAAGCATGAAATTCAGTGCCAATGAACTGAAGGCAATGTGAACAAGGAAAAAAAACAACCCAAACAAATTCTCCAGCTACAAATATACAAAGATGGGTTCCAAATTAGCAATTACCATTCAAGAAAATGGTCTTGAAGTCATTGCAGATAGTTTTTGAACAGATCAACTGAATGTTTAGTGGCAGTCAAAACAGCAAATAGAATGTTAGGAGGGATTGGAAAAGGAATAAAGAACAAAAGAGAAAGTATCAGAATGCCGCTGCATAACTCTATAGCATGTTTGTATCTTGAAGCACACATCACCTCACCTCAAAAATACTGATTTTAACTTAAAAGATACAATGGAGTACATGCAACTTGGCCAGGGGAGTGCAATGGTAGAAATAAGATCTTTTCAGGTTTGAAACAACAGGGAATTGATGTGAGATATGACAAAGACATTAACATCACAGGCAAAGAGCATAAAAGCAGGACAAGTATAAATGGATGTTCTGCAGTCCCCCAGTATAGTTAGCTGCTTCTTGTTTCAGAGATATAAGAAAGCAAAACGTGAATTGTGCCAAAACAGAGATCAGTGCAGTGCAAAAGAAATGAATTAAAAACAGTCCAGCTGTCAGAAGCGGACCAACATCAGAAAAGGAAATTTCTAGACAGGTTTGCAAGGCTCCCCCTGTGTCAGACCCAGCCAGTTTTGATGAGCCTGATATATAATGGCTGAGATGTCAATGCTTTACACACGGAGACCGGGAAAAAAAGGTTAATGGTGAGGAGGGCACTGAAATCATAGTGTGCAATTAGTCAGTTGTATCTATTTCAGCAATTTTCATTTATTTTTAAACATAGTCCTTGCTAAGTTGTATTTATGAGAACAAGGAATCAAGGCCTCATTGACAGAGCAATAGATACACATTTCCCCTGGAATAAAGCACTCAGGAGTTCAGTGTGAATGACCAACTCTGTACGAATTGCTGCTGGGGAAACAAAAAGTGTTAAAAAAACCTTATATATTCAGGTGCACAGCAGTAAGCAGCACTTGGAAGATGAACTGATCACTTTACAAGGTATTGCCAAATCAGGTATTATCAGACTTGCTCTTGAAAATCTTGGATTTGCTGTTTTTAAAGGAGGTTGGAAATTTGGAAAGAATAGAGAGAAGCATCACCAAAAATATTCAAAGGTTAGGGAAAATCTTGTACTGAGAATGATTTAGCAAGCTCAATCATCTCACTTTTCAAAAAGATCAAGTGTTGACTTGCCTATAGTGTGCATGAGTTTCTGTGGGGATCAAATACAAAGGCTCTCATTCATCCAGCACAGAAATGCTTAGTAAGAAACACCGGCTGGAAGCAGACACATTTGAATTAAACTCAGACATTATTATGATTTATTTTCTTTATCCTAAATCAATGTTACATATACTGAAAAATATTTTACTATGCTGCAATGACTAGATAATCTAAGATACAGAAAATGGATGGATGGTGAACAGGAAGTACAAAAAACAATCGTGCTTACACAGACTTGTCCGCATGGTCATGGACTTGGGTCGACTATTTCTAACTGTCTAGTTGAGACTGAATTACATTCAAATACACAGATAGATGCCTTTGAATTGCAGATGGCTTATGAAACCCTGACCTAGAGTACAGGGTGAACGACTTTCTGCACTTATGAATGCAAATCTTCCCAATAAGACAATTATCATGCTAAAATACACTTAAACTCACAGCAGTATGAGCATTATCAGGATTACCAAGTCTCTAGAACAAAGAAATGATCTGGTAGACAATAACAACATAGTTTTGCACAGTTGCCCCTTCAAACCATGTGGAACAAAACAGGAACAAAAGCATGCTTGAAAAAAAACAGTTCATCACCAGTGGTGTGCATTACAGACTGATGGAAAGTTACCTTCTTAGCATTAAGTAGGAGACAATAAACAATAGGAGAATGGATGAACTGAAGAGGAAGAAGCCTTGAACATAAGCAGCTTATGTCGAATACAGTAAAGCAGCCAGGGAAAGGCTGCAAGAGAATACAGGGTCTAGCAGTAAGGTGTAAGCTAGACAGAGGATCTTCCCAGAAGGGCTCTGGGTAGTATGAGAATTACTGATTTAACAGCACACGGACGAGGAAAACTGCAAGGAGTAATTACTGCATGCGTAACACTTGTTGCAACGTACAGAGTAAATTTTTAACTTAAAGAGGTCATATTTAGACATATTCAGTGCAGTTCACAGACCTGGCTGAGGACAGGGTTTTCTGTACCTGAGAAACAATTTTCTCTGTGCGTGCATTTAGGAGGAAGACTGAAAAGTGTAAAGGGAATTAGTGGAGGTGTTGCTGCTTGGTATGTGCAAATTGAAACAAAACCTGCAAACCATCTTTAAAGAAACTCAATTTATAGGGATAAACACAGGGGAAAATCTGGGAAATGTAATGGTCAGTGTGGTTGGACTAGATGAATTAATGACACACTTGTGCCTTAAGCTCTGTGAATGCATTACAGAAACACTGTAGAATTCCTTTCTTTTATTCATTGCATATTAATGCCTGTTATATATTGCATCAAAAGATTACTCGCATTAAAATGAAATAATTTACTTATTTTTACAGTGATGTAAAAGGAACTATTTCATGAATTAAATATAAATCTTTTAAGGACCAATATTGAAAACAGAAGGTAAACAGAACTAAGCAAAATGTTCCATCCTTTACTACTTCTGTTCTCATTCTCTCACATGCAAAGAGAAATTAAAATGTCCAAAAATGCATGTAAACATTCATGCCTGAATTATTGCTGTTTTCATGACTTCACTTAATCTGCTAATTTGCATAATAATTCAGTATATTTCCATATTGCATGAAAACAAACCCTTTCTCAAACTTTACCTTAAAGCTATTATAATTTTAACTCTATTAAAATTAAGAATTGTGTGGGACTCTACTTGGAGCAC